TTTTTTTTGTTTTTTTTTTTTTTTTTTTTTTTTTTTTTTCTCTAAAACTAATTTAGCCTCACAAGGGAACGTTCACTGGACAAAATTAGTATCGGAGGTTTTTCATGAAGAAAATTGTTTGTTAGGCGATAGGGGAATCATAATTAGCACAGGATATTATGTCCATAATTAGCACATTAAGAGAAATTTCCAGATAATTTCAGGTGCCCGGTCAGCAAAATTCTCTTCTGTTTGAAATCGTCGTCCCATGTGAATTTTTATATTTCCTCTATTGTTTAAACTAGTTCGTTTCAACTCCAGACTGTCTTTCTAGCAGCTTTGACATCAACCATGGCGGCATATTTTATATGGTGGAATTTAGATTCTATGATATATTAGCGAGTATCTTTACTTGCAGTTACTCAAAAAATCTTCATTGTCAGATCATGCGAAATCTATACTGACACAGTCGAATTAAGTGTTTTTCTCTTTTTTATTGAAATGAAGACAAAGGCATTCAATCACTTAAAAAGGTAAAGGTTCAGAAATTCAAATGGGGCACATGTGTTGTCTTAGAACAATGATTTGTATATTATTTGAGAGCTTTTGCATCCTGTTTGTATTCTCTGAGCTCAACGGACAGTGAAATTTCACAAATGCTACTCTAATTCATTCTGAACATCTTACTTCAAAATTATTTGACCGACCATGCAATCGAGATACTGATACGAAGGTAAATTTTAAAATAACAGTACATCTGGAATCTAATGCCTAGAGATGACTTTTCAAACTGATTGACTAATTTTAGTGTATTTAGAATTTCCAGGTTTCAGACTCAATTGAAATTGTGCTTTGACGCAAAATTTATATTTATGTTCTTGTGATTTGTCTGAATAATAGTACCATCACAGTAAACTTCCGTGTGTCACTTCAGCATAAGCAGATATATATGGAAATAAACACAGAGCTGTTAAGAATGAACTGATAAGAATGTAAGAAAAAATGCTTGTACATGTATACAAGTACATCGGAATTTATATTTGTTTATGGAAATATATACCTACATATCCATGTGGTATGTCTGCACTGATATAATATGGTATAAGTGCAGAAATGCACATAAAGCAGAAAGCATGCGTACCCTTAAATGGGAATATAGACACGTACACACACAGGCACACATATGCATTTATATATATGTGTTTGCATGTGGATTTATGCATACGTGTATAAATATACAGATATATGTATGTGTATATATTTCATCATCAAGCTCTTGAAGAAGTTTTCGTATTTCTTCTTCAGTCAGACCTATTTTCCTTTTCGGTATATTGCAAGAAAAATGTGAAAATAATTCCTAAAAAAACTTACCAAAATATTAAATATTCTAAAGCAACGCAAGCTCTGTTTACAATTTACAAACACACTTATCGCGAATTCGGTAGCTATGTAGCTACAAGAATAAAAGGGAAAAATTGGGAAAAAACCAGATTTCTTAACACAAAGACCTTTGAAAAGGATAAGTAATTAACATGTTGAGCAAAGCGCCGAATTTGCTGTCCTTTCCATTCAGCCAGCACCGAGCTAAGCTGTATTTTTGTTTAGAATGTTTCAATACATTTCATTAAAGCTAAATTTGATCACATTTCATTGAGACTATATTTATTTTTAACTTTAATACCGTCAGTCCCGCAGACCGACACCAGCCAAACGAAAATTCCAGTGCCGGTCCCCTGGCGCCGCACTCAACATGTTAAAACCAAAGGGACGTCAAATTTGACATTTCACCTCACTCTTTCAGCCTGGAAAATATGAGAAAAACACATGGCCACTAAAGTGGACAACCCTTTCATTTCAAACAGAGGACTCTATGGCCACTATAATGGCCATCCAGTTTTCAAAAGGTTAACATGTAAATAATTATTATAAATTCCGAACAAATACTCCTTAATGTAAAATCTTGGTAAAAGTTTACAATTGGGTGCCCCTTGTTTATTGGCGATTCTTTTTTGACGCCAAGATCGGCGCCAGGAAGTCACAATTTCAAGATGGCCACTACATAAAACCAAAATAAGAAGTCGAAGAATTGCATAAGATCTGTGTCCATGTACACTTCGATCTGTTTTTACTTACAAAAACATCCTAGACTTGCACAAACTAGGCATTGCGCACTGCCTTAAATATGTCCATGTACACATCAATCTATTTTCATTTAAATAAAATTGGGAAGCTAAAACAAAGTTAAAACTATCGTGGTAACCAGAAGTGAGGTTTCATCAGCAAAATTTTTTTAAAAATGTCGCCAATCGAAGGGGCACCCAATTCTACACTAAAGCCAAAACCTTTATTAATTTGTATTATTATCCATAAAAACTTGATACAGTCAAAAGTCGTTAATCCGGACTCGTCGGGACTTCGGCGATTCCGGATTATCGATTTTTCCGGATTATAGATCATCAGTTTAAATCCAGTAAAATGACATGCAGAAATTATAAAATTAAAAATATGAAACCGTAATTTACGAAATAAAGAACAATTATGATCTAAAGGCTATCAAAATTTACAAAATAAAGCTTAATATTTATTTGTTTACTTTATTAAACATTTCTTTCAATGTAAGTTGTTTAAGTTGCTTCATTTTATGTGATAATACATTCCCTTTAATTCTATAAACAGACATAATTTCTCGTTCAGTTACAAAGTTCCACTGTTCAAATCCTATAATTGCTGTGTCGAGAATACCGACTAATTTGTCAATCGAAATTTTTTCGTTTTCAATAACCTCTGTCACTTTCTTCGCTATCAGAAGCGAATTATAATGACCAGGCATTTGATTTAAATCATATCAAAGAAGTACATCGAGATGAAATACTACATTGAGTAAGCAATTATAAGCCAAAAAAAAAAATAAAAACATCTGCCCTTAAGATAAGGATAGTGCTGACAGATCAACTTCCAATTCATTGCACGCCGCCACCGCGTTAAATATAAACAAACGTTAAAGTTTAGATAAACAAAGGATATGCCTTTATCCATTTTGTGCAGCAATTCCACTTTTTGTTTAATGGACTCCGAAAGATACTTTCGCTTTGTATATCCTTTACATATTAGTAAATATATATCGGAAATTCTATTTGACATAATCGAAAGTTCAAGCTTACTTTTATAAAATTGCTCTAACTGTCTGCAAAAAATAATAATCCGTATCCAATTCGAAGATTAAGGAACAATGCAATCTGCAACATTAACTGAAATAGATAATTAGATAATTTTAGCTTAGCTTATCCCGTCCTTTATACATTAAATGCGCATTTGTAAACGTATTTTGCGTACGCACACACACACAAATTCCCATCGGTAAAGGTCTACTACTGCGTCTTCGCGACACATGCGCAGAAATTTTGTAGCTTTGAGTTCCGGATCATAGATCATTCAGGATTATGGGTGTCCGAATTAACGACTTTTGACTGTATTGTCTAAATGAAGGAGCTGTAAACTTTGGCAAAAGTTTACAATTGGGTGCCTCTTGTTTTTTGGCGATTCTTTTTTGACGCCAAGATCGGCGCCAGGAAGGCACAATTCAAGATGGCCGCTACATAAAACCAAAATAAGAAGTCAAAGAATTACACAAACTCTGTGTCCATGTACACATCGATCTGTTTTCACTTAAAAAAACATCCCAGAATTGCACAAACTAGGCATTGTGCACTGGCTTAAATTTGTCCATGTACACATCAATCTATTTTCATTTAAATAAAATCAGGAAGCTAAAACAAAGTTAAAACTATCATGGTAACCAGAAGTGAGGTTTCATCGCCGAAATTTGAAAAAAATTGTCGCTAATCGAAGGGACACCCAATTCTACACTACAGCCTAAACTTTTTATATTAAAATGGAATTCTAAGATTAAATCTTAATCATTGATAAGAAGCATGGTATTTGGTGATTTATCAAATTCTTTATTCTTAAGTATTTATAACTTGACAATGACAAGTAATGAAATTTCAATATACACAATTCTTTGTTATAAGCAAGATGCAACTGGAATAATGTTAGAATATAAGGCACATAACATCCAATTTAGATAAAAGTATGAAAACTCAAATGCAAAACATCTAACTCTGTCTGCTGTGTAGTATTAATACAAGTTGTTCATCTTGGATATCCTTTTAAATTTTAAGGATTGTTTTAATGTTACACTTTCCATTTAAATATAAAATTCAGATGTGACAGAGTGTCATCTCTACTATATTCTTAATACAGAAACGGAAATTTATTCACATTACACATAGCATAATACAAGAAAATGACAAACAGCCAGCCCATCATCATTCAAACCTGGTCTATCTACCACAGTTTAGCTACTTTTCCACTTTTCTAATAATGTTTCATTTTCGATTCAATGCAGAAATGTCATACAAAATTTTAAATAAACATACAATAAGGCAACAAAGCTTAAAGCTCCGTAATTCAGATATAAAAAATACCTTCCTTCAACTTTCAGCTTAAAAGTCAAATTTCTGATTTCTGCAAATACAAGGACCATGGTCTTTTCATAATACTCATTTAATTTTTTACTTGAAATCATGTCCATATTTAAAAACTCATTATCCATGTTACCATCTTAGTCACGATTTTTCCTTCATTATTAACAAGCAGAATTTTACTTCAGTCCCTGTCCAGAATTTAAAGCAGACCCAATACTACTCTTCTGGCATACTTTCTCTTACATACCGCCTTTTATGTTATAAAATCCCCTTCTTCGTTCATATAACATGCATTTAATTGCTGCATTAATTAGTCATAATATATGAATTAAAAATATTAAGAACTAGAATACTTCTGTACGAAAGTTACATTCCGATTAACAATTTCAAAATGAAATAATTCTAAGCATAAATTAAAGTACACACAAAAATGAAAACTTCTCATCATCTTCTCAAATTTTTATCACGATTTTACATCGATCCCAAGAAATATTACACTGAAAACAGTATTTGCATAAAAAGCAATAAACTTACCTGAAATTCGTTCTCATATTGATCATCAGATTCTTTTTTTCGTGATTCTAATTCGTTAACATGATCAAGAAAGTTTTTAAGAACTGTCCTCAGTGGTGCTTTCATGATGAAATAATTCTGCGAATTTAAATAAAAAATTTAGTCATGAGTACCACAGTAAAAAATTACGCGCATGATTGTGAAAATTTTTATAGTGGTGATGAATCATAATCATTAGTAAACATCACATTTAATTCCTAAAATTATATTTCTCCTCAGCCGAAATAACTGAGAATGTCAACAAAATCGACATCCGGTTTTCTTAAGAACTAGCTAGATCTACTACCATCAACTTTTACCTTTCACATCAAAATTTGCAAAACATAATTAGAATTACTATTACTGTTGTTGCCATAAATGTCTCTATTAATTCACAGGAAAATTGTTTAGTGCCATTTTTGTGGCAATAGGTGGAAATCAAAGTAAATCAGTTTAACATCGTTAATCTAATGAAAAAAATAAATGGATCAAATTTATGTGTTAAATTACAAATACCATTTAAGAAAAAAATTTCAAAACTTTTTTTTTTTTTTTTTTTCCAAAAATACTTTTCACAGTCAATTTTATTTCCTCCTCCTCAACTCAACTTTTGTTATGCAAGTAAACAAGCCATTTAACAATTGGTGTTGTGAAAGTGTTTGTTAAGTAGTTGTGTTTTGAGTGTCCTTGGTTTAAAGTCCTTGATAATCGTAAGTTTAAATGCTGCATATTTTAAATAATTGCTTAATAGTCAAAATTATCTTGTAATAATGCAGTTCACATTTGAGACTTTGGCCTACAAATTTTAATAAGATTTAGGGTTTGCTTAATTTGTTTCTGTAATATTATCGTTGAAGTGTGACACAAGGCAATGCATATACCTCAGTTTTCATGTGAATGTTTTTAGTTTTCTGTAATTTCCTTTTTTTTTATTTTTGCCTTTTCCTTCAGTTTAATATGGGAAACAAATCGTCTTTAATGCTGCAGCCTGAAGAAATAGCGGAAATTCATCAAGAGACTGGTTGTAAGTGATATACTGTTTTAATGAAATTTATTTTTGAACTTTTTTCCTGAACGATACAAATAAATGTTTCGTTGTGTGCCATTTATTGAAAAGTTTCAAGATTATGTACTGTAATCTTGAAATGTAGCAAAGAATCTAAGAAATGTAAAATACTATTTGCTTATTTTTAAAAAAAAATTTATTAGAGATTAAATGTATATTTACTTTTGTAAATTACAATAGCATTAATAAAATCCCACTTCCAATTAAAATATCGAATATCCAGATAAATGATTCAATTAGAACGCTATTGATTTATTTGCCTCAAAAGAAGACAGATAAGTAGGTTTAATTTTAAAACTTGTACTTTATTATTTTGTAATCAACATTCAAAGATTTTTTGTAAGCAATATTATGAGTTTATTATATTCCATCATTAGAAATAAAATATTACAATTTTTTTTTACCTATGAGGATTTTTTCCTTTTAGGTGCTTTGTTTTCCTCAAACTTGTGAAAATGCAAATGTATTTCAATTTGTAAATTACAACATATTTTCATATTTAATTTTTGAAATTTATTTTGTGAACCTGTATTTAAATAATCCCCGAACCGCCACTACATATGAGTTAGAGGTTGCATTGACAAATGCAAATAGGCAAGCCAAAATTAGCATAAAATGCAATCCCGCACTCACACCACAGTGCCTTAAAAAGGGCATGCCAGACCTATCCATCAGTTCGCCAACAGCAACCTTGAAATTTCTCGACATTATGAATTTTGCACCTACATTCAAGCAAGTGCTAATTATTTGGCCTTTACGAGCATATCACTGAAGCTATTATCTGATCGATATTCCTTTAAAACAGTATTCAGGTTGTTCAAACTTTCCCAAGTCCATGAAATAATGAAATTTTATGTGCTAAATATTGGTAACAACAATTTAGTATCTTGTTTCCCAACATTAATAAACATACTATAAGGTATTTCTCCCGGCCTTCTTAGCGAGCCTTCATGTTGTAGTGGTCAGCACACTTAGCACATAATTGAGAGGTCTGCGGTTCGATTCCCGGCAAAGACGTTGCTAATTTTTCATCTTGCCTGCTTCCAAAAATACCTAATGTCTTTACAGTGGCGCTTGAACTAAAAGAATGTTGGATGATTCTCCTCAACCAGGATTTGGTGATTGGGTCCTCTAAAAACCCCAGTCACTCTTTCAAAGGGGGAGTATATAAGTTATTTTTCCTGCCTTCTTTGTGAGCATTCGTGGTGTAGTGATCGGCACACTCGGTGCATAATTGAGAGGTCTGCTGTTCGATTCTCGGCGAAGGCTTTGCTAATTTTTCATCTTGCCTGCTTCCAAAAATACCTAATGTCTCTACAATACGATCTCATAATTTTTAATTTCTTTAAATTAAGAAATAGGCAGATGGTGTGTAGTGCTATCAAAATTATATCCAGACAAAATTTCCTAAAAAACATTGTAAATTTTGCCCAACTGGAAACTTAGTGGGGTTATTGCATCAGTTCTGCCATACCACCTGGTATTTGACAAAGGTTTTAATTTGAAATTTTACTTTCCAAAACAGACTGCTGATTGATTGAGGCAGAAAAAAAAAATTATATGGCTGATGAACAGTGAAGAATAAGTTTCTACTAAATATACTGGGTTCACAGCATCATTCATGATGAGTTTTAAACTGCAATTACAGCAGGGTACAAATATTGCTTGTGAATTAATGGTTTTTTTTTTTTTTTTTTTTTTTTTTTTTTTTACACGTTTAGCCTTCATATTCCAACCATTGTCGTATCCTTGTCTGTACTATCAATATATAAACTATAATTTTCTAAAGTTTTCATTAAAAAGTTCTATTAAACTTTCACCTTTTGTATATTTTACGGGATGGAATGTTAAGAAATGTTCTTTAACACTAAGTTCATTATTTTTTTAAAATTAACATATCTTATGCAAAAGGAAATTTGCTGCACATCAGGAGTACGATCAAGTTTATAGCAAAATACTTTGCTTTTTTAACTTCATTTAAAATATTATTTCTTATATTATCACCTATTAATTTAATCATTTAGGTTTGAATTTTCTCTTGAAGATAAAAGTGGCATATTTTTTTTATTATTATTAATGTGTGCAGACATGTTTGGGTCAAATTTTGCTAGCATTTCTATACATATATTTTTAAAAATTTCTGTTGTTTCTTTCAAATAATTTGTTACTGGGACCAGAAAAAACCAAGTTTTGTTCACCCAAAAATTAAATTGTATAAATTATTTTTTCAATGACACTGTGCCAGTATTTAGCTTCACTTTTAAATTTATTTTGCATTTCAAAATCTACAGTTCAGTTAGTTTTTAATCTTTCTAATAAATCAGATCAGACAGTAAATTTTGAAAACGAGATTTACTTTTTTCGCGAATTTGCAAATGTTTCCTTAACTGATACCAATGATGAAACCATCTTGTTACTTATTTTAGTATTTCTGCAGGTAAGTGGATTATTAATGTTAGTGAATATTTTACAATAGAAACAGAAAACTATATTTTCTTCATAGAATATAGTAACCAATCTCACTGAACCTTTTCGTCTTTTGACAAAATTCACAGCAAATTTTAAGACAACTTGCATCCACATTTGTCGTTAGGCAATATAGTCTTATTTTAATAATACCTACGACTTTTTTCGACTAATTCTTGCACCTGGAGATAATAAACTCAGCCAAAGACCTGGATCGTTAGAGAGGAATAAGTATGTGTTATCGAATGATTCATATTGCTAACTCGAATGTGATGGTACCGACTGAACTGTATCAGAAGCTAAATCTCTTGGATCTTTCCTAATTCTAATACCGATTTTGAAAATGATGGAAATGGAAAATGACTGTTTCCGTAAAAGTACTACTGTCTTGAAAATGTGTGAGCTTTAAAAAAAAATCAGAACGTTTCAAATTGCTCTTCTCCAAGTTGTCCTCCCGTTTTTGCATGTTAACCAAACAATTTTTTTTTTTTTTTTTTTTTTTTTAACTTTTCTGTCCATACAAATAAAAATCACAAAAAATTATTGGTTTATATAAAACATTTATTTTAAAAAATTCAAAATTTTAAATTTTATAATTACTATTATACCAAATTTCATTAAGTATTTATAGAAATTAGGTAAACTAAATGTATAGTTAAAACTATGTAAGTTTTTTTTAAAGTTGAATAAAGCATTATTATAATTATAGTTTTTATTATGTAATGCTGAATTCACTTACCTTATTTTTTAATTATTTTCCACATTAACTATATTAGTAAATCTGCACAAGCTGCAAAAGCATTTAACTGCTTCCCTTACAAATTTTTTTGAAAAAAATTGCAAAAAATCATCACATTTTTTTATTTTATTTTTAAATACAACAAAACGAAACAAATCAAAATATGTAGGTTTTTAAGTTGAATTTTTAATTTTTTGAAGGTGTAAAAACATTTATTTTTAATATTAGTTTACTATCCCGAGTTATCTTGAGCAAACGAAAATAGTTAAATATTATCTTTGTATGATTGTTTTTGAAACAAGGGGACAAACAGTGATACCTGACGTTCTACACTGGTATCTGGTCTCTTTCTTACTGGCTTATCTGCTGGAATCTCTTTCACGGGAGCACAGAGTACACTGTCTCGTTCGATTTTTTTTTTTTTTTAAATTTTTTATTTTTTCCCAACATTTTCATAATCACTATCTGAAAAATCATCGCTTTCGCTAACTTGCCATCATCGCCATTATTTTATTTTTTCCCAACACATGCATCTTTCTTTATACATTACTAATCCACAAGCTAACGTATACTATACAATAGGGAAACACGCGACCAGTCCCTCCAAAAGAACCGCGCAACCAACAAAATTTGGCAAACTGCCAATGAAAGCTGAATATTTCCTTTCATTTCCTCCAGACCAAGTAAAACCGTGATAAAAGAAATCGTACTAACAAATTCTGCTTCGCCCGAGTTTTCTCGGGATAATAATTAACTGCAATACATACGAACCCGAGATAACTCAGGATAATCAGGCAAGCGGTTAAATAAACCTAAAATTTCTCAATCTTAAACCTGAAAACGTTTGACCGAATGATGAACAATGTGCCAATGTAGAGCCGTTAGAGGAATAGAAATAGTGAAATTTCACCACTGGTTAGTATTGGTAGATAATAAAATTAGCTTAGGTACCTTTGAAACCATGGTGCCGTTTAAGGTCTTGGCTGCTGTAGGTGCCTATAAGACCTTGGCGCTGTTGTACACCGACCACCTTAGCCATATGGATGCCATGTCACTGGTATAGAGAAAGTATTTAAATTATTAATTTACAATTTTGGAAAACATATTTTTTAGAAAGTTCTGATTAATTTAAATTAAAAAAAAAAAAAAAGGTTAGTGTAGTGATTTTTTGTGTTACTAAAAAAAAAAGTTTAAAAGCATAGAAATATTTATTAGAATGTCTCTAATTAGGAATAAAAAAAAGCTCTCTAAATACAATTTTATAACATTCTTGTTATACTATTGTTAGGATGAAATAAAATAATATTGATAGTTGTAATTTCATTATGTTTCATAAGCAATAATGTACTAATTTTGGCTAACTTATTTTTAAAAGGCATTTCTTATATAACTCAGCACCCTTAACAAAATTTTCTCTTTGCAGTTTCACCAAGCCAGATTGAGAGGCTTTACAGCAGATTCACAAGTCTAGATAAAACAGATAATGGAACTTTAAGGTATGTGTTTTTGTGCCTGTTAAAATATCTGTTCAAATTCTGAAGTTTGCCTAAAATGTATAAGAATTTTCCCTCATCTAGAAATGCTCTTTTGAAAGCAATATCTAATATATGCAGTCTAATATTTAAAAAATATATGAAAATTATTTAACCACTGATTTTTAACTCGTTATCAAAAGAAAATTTATTAACTTACTTTCACCTTAAAGTCCATTTAATTACGTTTCTTGTAGAATATCTTGAATATTTTATGTTAAAATAACACGCCAAATAAATATTAATTTAAAAGTCAAACAACAAAGATCAGCATTATATTTGCAAATTTTCACAGGACTAGTTTCAATGAATTTTACCGAGCCATCATCCTCAAGTGCAAATTAATGAGATAAGATATAGTAAAAACATAAGAATAGTTGGACAGGAGTTAAGCTACTGGCACCTTCTATTGATGAAAAAAGAAAACTAAAACATATTTTCCTTAAAGGCTGAAGATTAAGATAAAGTGGAATTAAGGTCATTAACTGAAACAAAGAGATATTCTAGTTAGTCTTTCTTTAATTATTGTAAACCTTCATTTTATAGGCATCTCTGGAACCCATCTTAAAACTGGGTAAACAAATAACCAGTTAATCCAAAGAAGCATGCTAAATGGAATGTATGGGTTATAAATCAGATTAAATAAATATGTATCTATATTGCATATAAGAATGTAGCATGTTTTTTAAGTAAGGACCGTTTTGTTATGTACACTAATAGGTGGCGTGCACACCGCGATGAGTGCCTCCATTGTGTCCCGGCACTCATTAGAAGCACCTATGCTCAGTTGCAGCTGCGTAGGTAACCTGTACAGTCTGTTCTGTGTCTTTAAAATGTTCAAGATTATCAAATCACCCACCTCATGTGAGATAAGGTTAGTGATATGTCTTTTGTTAGCGTGAAACCTGTCTGCTGCAGATTTGTGAAGTTTACAGAGCTACTAGGATGTGTGAAGGCAAAGTGCATCAGTGGGTCAGAGACCAAGACAGCATCTATGATGAGTTCTGCTCTGGTTGTCCATCTGTGATTACAGATGATATGGTGGCTTCAGTTGAAGCAAAAATTCTTGAGAACAGAAGCTTCACCATAAGCACGCTTTCAAATGAATTTCCTGAATTGTCTAGGTAGTGATGTACAAGATTGTTTCTTAAAACTTAAGGTTTAAGAAACTGTGCTCCAGTTGAGTCCCTGGAGGACCACAAAAACAAAAGATATGAGTGTTCGCTGAATTTTTTGGCTTGTTATAATGAAGAAGATGATGCTATGTTTACTCATATTGTAACGGGAGACAAAATGTGCGTTTCACATCTCACCCCGAATGGAAGCAACAGAGCATGGAGTGGAGACACACACAATCTCCTGTAAGGGTGAAAACCAAAAAGACTCTGTCCCAGTGCAAGATCATGAGGTCCATGTTTTGGCATAGGCATCGTGTTTTGTTGGTCGACTTTATGCAATATGAAACCACCATAAATACGGTAAGCCTATGGCGAAAGCTATGGATAGGGATTTAAAACAAAAAAAAATGTGGCATGCTGACAGAGGAAATTTTACAACTCCGTGACAATGAGAGGCCTCATACCGCAGCTTAGGCTCAAGCTTCATTGGACTCTTTTTGTTGGGAAGTTTGGACAACCCCCTTACAGTCCAGACCTTGCGCTGAGTGATTTTCATCTTTTCCTCTATCTCAATCATCTCAGCAGCAACCACTACAACGATAAAGATGTGAAAATAACTGTGACCTCTTGGTTGTCAGAGCAGGTGGCAAATTTCTATGAAGAGTGTATTCAAAATCTAGTTCTAAGCTATGATAATTGTTTAAACAAAACTTGGCAACTATGCTGAAAACGGAGAAATATATGTAGAATCTGAAAATAAGTTTGGTTTGGGGAAATTTTCTTTTGTTTGGTTTTTATTTTCAAATGACTCTTACTTAAAAAACATTCTACATATTTAGTAAACACATGTTTATTTGAGTAAAAAAATCAGTCATTTTTCTTTATAATTATTATTAAAAAAATCATGCTATTTTTCTATATTGAAAATATCACTGACAGATAAATTTTCTTGCTGTTTTATATATCTCACAATGCTTTTAGTTTCTTTCAGTACTTAACTTGTACCATTCCCACTTATTCTAATTCATTTCAAATTATTAACGATTTAAAAATTTATGTACAGTAATAACATGATACCACATGACTTCTTTGTTATAACCTATTAAATTATACACATTTTTGCTGCTCTTCATTTAAACTTATTTCCTTGAATTATTCTAACTTGAATAATCAAATTCTCAAGGTAAGTTGAAAATGACATCAAAAATTGCAAATTTTGAAATTAAATATCCGAGTTAATTTTTATTATTGGGGGGGGGGGTAAACTTCTTATAATTGTATACGAGTATAAAAATTTCCCAAATATAAGTGTGGGAACTGGGAGACTGCATTAAAAGTTAGTTTTTGTTGATTCTCAATTTCCCCCCTTCCAAATTTGACATCATCCAAATATGAATATTTTCATCATTTAAAACACTTCTTTAATTATAAGTATATGACTACAACCGACGATTGTGAAAATAAAGCCCAAGTAAGGAATTTTTAAGCCAGGTATGGAGGTGTATGCCTTTATATATAATAAAAGTTTAGTTCATTTTAGAGAATTTTGTATTAGATGAGTGCTTGACTAAGGAAGACGTCAATTATTCTACAATCATAAGTGATCATAAAGCATTACATTTTTTTAGCAATGAATATAAGAAGTCAAGCAAGAGATATCCTTTAGCTAGCAAGCATAGACAGTAAAAGAGGAAGCATAATAAATTGCAGTACTTTTATGCTTTGCAGAGATATTTATGAGCTCTTAGCAATTCTTTGTTCTAGTAATATCAGTCAGGCAAAATTTTACTGTAACGTGGATACTGCAGAAAAATTGCAGATGCCTTGAAGGGTTGTATTTTAATTGAAAATTAGTAGTTTAAAAATCTTTTGTCAGTTTGTTAAGTTTTAATTTGGTAATAATTTTTTCTTCATGTTTTAATATCTTACACTGTATATATGTATGCTTGGTTTTGCTGATAGCAATAAAAAAGATGTACAATTAGATGTTATAACAGTACTACATACAAAGTTTCAACATCTATGCGTAATCGTTTTTGAGTTATGCGAGATAAATATCAACACATACATACACACAGATGTCACAAAAAAAAAAAAAAAAATCTCTTTTGAATCCATTTTATAATCCATTTTGGAAAAGTGTCCTTTATTCTGTGCATACATATGGAAGTCACAGAAAAAAAATTTCCAAATGGATTCGGGAAAGGTTAAAGTGGATATTTCCATTGAAATATGATACCTGAATTTTTTTGAGATTGCAATATTTCCTCATTCAATGAAGAAAATATGTACTAATTTCAGCCAAAAATTATTTCACTGTATATAAAAAGTGAGTATGGTCCAAAATGCACAGATAACTATCATTAAGTTCACTTAAAAACTATGAATAGTAGTGCTTTTAATTTAACTTTACCTTATAGACCCTCAAACTTTTTTTATGTTGCTACTCTTAGATTTTTTGAAAGTCTAATGTATCCCCTAGATAAAATATAAATTTAAAAACATCTTAGTAAATTATCAAATCTAAAATATAAATTTTAAAAACATCTTAGTAAGTTATCAAGTCTGTCTTTCTTTTATGTTGGAAAGCATGTGATAAAAGCATCATATACAGTGTAAAATTGTTGTAGGGGTATTAGTTTTATTGTCTTAGCACTACATCATTTTGAGGATTTCTTTTAGCAATCCAAAAAAATAACTTTATTATTATTATAACTTTATAAATAGCTTTATTATTATTACCAGCTCTAGAAAAAGACATTGTTACTAATTGGAAGAGTAGGTGAATGTTCTAAGAAGTATAAGAAAAAGCTGCAAAAAGTATTTTTTTCAGTGGCGAAATTGGGTTCAGAAAGTAGATTTGTGACACAGTTTTGAAAAAAAAAAAAAAATATATAGTTAAAGTGAGACTAGACAAGGAAAAGTCTGTTGCATAGTGATGTTTGTAGCAATTAATGTAAGGAGAATTGAAATACTAATTTTTGCTCTGCATACCTTTTCCAGCCGAGAAGATTTTCTTCGTATACCAGAACTTGCAATTAACCCTTTAGGTGACAGAATTGTTCATGCATTTTTCAATGAAGCATATGATGATCGAATTAATTTTCGCCAGTTTATGCGAGTCTTATCTCGGTTCCGTCCAGTGAAGAAAAATAAAGAAAATAAGTTAAACAGTAGAGAGGAAAAGCTGCGATGTAAGTATTGATTTATCACTTTTGGATAGTTAATAATATAAATATAACAATGATATAATTAAAATATGCAGTAATATGAAAAATATTTAAAATATCTTTTACTTCTTGAACATAAAAAATTGTGAAAAACTCAACATCTGTTAACTCATCAAGAATTCGAGCTATTGTTCTTTATATGTTTGCATTTTGAAAGTTATATTTGATATTTAAACTAAAAATCTTTTATCTTTCTTGTGTAATCACACCAAGCTGCCCCCTTACAAATGTTTTGAATGTGTATTTTGATATATATTTTTTATTGAAACTTAATATTTCATAGTTGACAAACTTGAAATCTCAAAAACCGGGAGATTTTTGTGAGAAAACTAGGAGGTTTTTCATGCTGAGGTGCGACTTCATTTCAAATTAACTGCAAACTGACTTTAATTCTCTTTATAGTACATGATTTAGACTATTGAACTGTTTGTAATACAATTCTGATGTAACATATACACTCTGTCACAAAAAAACAAAAACAAAAATATATTCACCCAGAAGAAATCTAGCCACAATCATGAAACTCAGCAGGAATGTAATCTGGTAAAAGATATGCAAATGATTTAAATTTTGATGCCAATAAGACAAGGGTAAGTGCTCTATGCACATATGAGATATACAGCTGGGAGAATTTAAAAGCACGATTGCTCATGCCATAGGACTACTCAAACAAATTTGTCAACTTGGATGGATGGTATTGTGACTAGAGATTCCTCTAAGACATAACTGACAGCAGTACAAACAGTTGTTGGACTTTAAGAAGGGTCATATGATAGGTTTCAGAGAAGCAGGTTAATCAAACAGGCGTATCGGCCACCACCTCGGTCGTAGCAATATTGTAGTTGCTCAGTGTTGGCAACAATGGATCATGGAAGGGGTAGTCTACCATCGCAAAGTGACAGGGTTATCCCATGAACACAAATGAGCATGAGGATCACGCAATCATAAGAGCAGCCACTTCCACACCAATAACATCGCTACCATTGATACGATGCCATTTACCACCTTTCCAGTAATAGCAAGGGAAACCATTTTGAGATGGCTGACCGATGCTGGTATATGCTACTGTTGTCCATTAAGATCACTGACTGCTACCGCCTACCATTGACCTACATCATAGGCAGTGTCAATTGAATTTTGGCCAAACTTGGGTAACCGGAGAGCGAGTGACTAGAGGATGTGGTGTTCAGAAATGAATCCCGATTCAGTTTCAATTCTGATGACCAAGGCACACACACGTGGAGACGGCCAGGCCAGCGGTCCGATTTAGTATTTATTGTCGAGGGGCATATGGTGACTATGCAAGCTGGAACCGTGTGGCCAGTGATTTGTTGGGACACACGATCACCTCTAATCGTCCTTCAAGGCACTATGATGGCTCACAGTTACGTGGATGATATTTTAATGCCAGTTGTTCTCTATGCTATCAAGTCACCCAGGTTCCATTTATCAGCAAGACAACACTCATCCGCATACAGCGTGACTCTGCTAACAATGTGTTCAAGGATATGATGTGGCCTGCCAGGTCACCAGGCCTCTTGCCAATAGGGCACGGGACCTGCTTGGAAGGCAACTGCAGATGTCCTGGGATGTTGGTTAATTAACTGCTCAGTTGCAAAGATTATGGCATGATCTTCTACAGGGTGTCATATGTAACCTACTTGATTCAACGCCATGCCATGTTTCATCTTGTATAGGTGCCAGAGATGGCTGTTCTACTTACTGATTTGTAACCTTTCTCATGCCATAACTTCTTAATGAAACAATCTTTTGTTCTGAATTTATAATCATTTGTTTATCTTGCCATACACTACGTACATGTTAAGTTTTGTAATAGTAGTTTGTTTTCATCTGGGTGCATATATTTTGTGAAAGAGTGTATTTGCATTCAATTAGATAATCTAAATTTTATGTCCTTATGCTAATTTCATTTTTTAATTTTCTCACACTTTTATACTAAGAAAATCCCAAATAGTGAAACTTTAAGTACTGAATTATTAATGTGTATAGTATTTGTGTGGATAAACTTAGTAATGGGGCATTTATTGAAGTAAAATAAAATAAAATACAAATATTAATTGATTAAATATTTCTTGAATATTTTTATGAAAATCTACAAATGTCTACAGTCAATTAAGATAACTCGCATTAAATGATATTTTATAAGATCAATAAAATATAATAAAAAAATTAGGTTAAAATCAAATTTAATTAGAAAAATTATTCTGAAAATCACTAGATGTGAGAGAATGCAGCTTGCTTAATTTAAGATTCTTTAATTTAATAAAATTTTTATCTGGCATTACAACTTATAATTCTTAAATCATGACATAAAGGATTTAAGAAAGCTATAAATGTTAATTTTCTTTTGTAATGCATGTTCTATGTATTCCCTTCATTCAGAAAGTAAGATTTTTGAATAAATTTGGGAGACACCACAAAATGTTAATGTAATATATGTTTGTCTTATTTACTTCCAGTTGCATTTAAAATGTATGACCTTGATGATGATAACAAGATCTCAAGGGATGAACTGCTGGCAGTTTTACATATGATGGTTGGAGCTAACATTTCTGAAGAACAAGTAAGTCTTAGAGAATCAGAAATTCTTTCATCTTTCTGAATTTTTATAGAAGGTACTTTCTGATTGTCTGCATCTCTAGTTAGAACATTTGATAGAGCTGTCATATATTGGGATATTTTTTAATCTCTATACGGAAATGAACAGCCAGTGCATGCATGTACTACACTTGTTTGAATACTTATGGATTTACACACTTTAACAGGGTTCGTACAATCCTTAAGAGTCCTTAGGTTTTTTGGAATCGATTTTTGGTCAAAACCAGCAGAAAATCCTTAATTTTAATTATTTGAAATTTCCGTCTCTTTTTGCAACTGCCATTTTGAGAGTGATTTAGCATTTTGGGAGAATATTTTTGGTGGTTCACTGACAAATATGGTCATCTTTGGAATGGGTTAATTAATTTGTTTCTATTTCTTTTATAAACAATGTGATACTCGAGTTTCTGTGCAAGAAGTGAAACCTAAGCATTTCAAAATTACTTCATTTTTTTCTAATGAAGAGCTCTTAGCAACTTTTCACTTTGGGGGATGTGAATTCTTTTATTAAACAGTTCTAAATTTGGTGACTTATCAACATTTTGGCAATTTTAAGATCAATTTCTATAGAACATTTTTAATTTGGAAATTTAGGAATTTTTTGATAATTTTTTTAAAACATTATAACATTCATAAATTTCATTAAAATAATAGTAATATATTGAAATTATACTTAAGAAATAACATTAAAATAAGCTATTTTTCTTTTCTGTGCCATAGTATAAAATGACAGTAATTTCCATTTCAGAGACATAATATACAACATTTTAAAACTGAAAAATGAACAAGGTAATAAATGCTATAAATCACAATTTACAAAACAATTCTTAACAAAAGCAAAATACCTGTGTAATCAATTAAAAATGCTTTTTCTATTTTTTCAGGGTAAGAGTTTTTCCATGTAATTGTCTCAGAATGTGCATCAGTTTTCTGTATAAAATTAATTTTACACTCCACCCCCTTTCTCTGATCTTCTCCCCCCCCCCGGCTGAAAAGCCAGAAAATATTTCTGGCTTTTTGCTGTAGCAGAATTGATAGGGGTAATTTGTCTTTCGAATTTTAGATGTTGCAACTTAAAAAATTTAGAAGGATTTAAATATTTTTATAGACCCATGATTCTTCTAGAAGATTCCAGAAAAATACACAAAATGAAAAATGTCTTCATGATATTGGCATGTAATAGATCTATTTTACAGAAAATTTGTGATGAATTTCTTACTTTTTGGAGAATTTTTGGAAGAACAATGAAATCATAATATTTGAAATTTTTACTTCTGATACTAGAAGTGTTTTTCTTAACATGTTTATCTTCCCTTTATTTTCTCTTCTTTTCACTAAACAAAGACATAAATATCAGAAATGTTTCTAATCTTATCACATGAACAGGCATCTATAGAAAGGAATTTTTCTATTAATAAAGAAATTAAAAGCTGAAAATTTAAAAGTTTCATGTTATATATGTCTCAATGCATAATACACAGGGCTGGTGCTAGTCATTTTTCCACCACCAATTGCTGTGGATCGTAAATTCTGCTCCCAGTACCTGTCCTAAATTGTAAAAGTTATGCTATTTCTAGCTTTTGTTCTTCGGTGCATCACTAAATTCTAAAAATTCTGCCACACTGGCTCTGTAACTGGCCCTGATCATCTATCATTTCATATTTATTCTTAATGTTCATGTTATTAAAGAAATAAATAATAGAAATCTTTAATAAAATTCAAAAATTCTGAAATAAAGAGGAAACATATTGAAGAAAGAAATTGAATGTATAAAGTGAAAGAAAATTATTCTTGAAAGATATGTACGGTTATTATTATGTAAGTTAACCAGTCTATAATTTCAGCCTTTACTATAATTCCTCCTTTCCGTTTCATAACCAGAGTGCAAATCAGTTAAATAGTATTTAAACTGCAGTTTTTTGGTATTAAGAGAGAGTTTGTTTCTGGCCTCTGCTTGCATACTGCATTAGTTTCTAGAGCTAATATATAATTATTTGTCTTTATCAGCTCTAATAATTTATAATTATTTGTCTTTGCATTATCGCTGCTGACATTTGAATTTGTTACAATGATAGAGTTACTGAATCAGCCTAGATTAAAATTAAATTGTGCAGTCTACTAGTCTACCTTTTTAGTTTGAATTTGACTGTTCCTGTTTAGTTACATCACCATGAGCTGTAGTTGATTTTGTCAGGAATGCGCCTGTATGTTTTAAGTTCTGTTGAAATAAAGAGGTTTATGTAAACCTTTATCTGACTTCATAGTTACTTTCAGACGTAGCAATAATTTGTTTCATGTCTGTCAGGGGTTTGGGACTATTTAACTTTTACCTGATCAAGTAAAACCTCATAGGTACATTGTTGAGAGATTGACAGGTTAGGAGATAAAACTGTTTAATGAGAAGGAAATACATATAAATTAGTCAAAATGTGTGGAAAGGCTTCAAATTAAAAAGAATTAATACATATTTTGTTGTGTGTTGTTGCTATGAAACATGAATGTTTTATAGCTTTTAATGTGTAATTATCCTAATATCGTTTAAAAAATCAAGTGTCATAAATTGCATGTGTTTTAAACTGTGAAAAGTTATTAGATTGTGATTTTAATAGCGCTTTTTTAACAAGTACTTTTTTAAAATAAATAAAATTTAATAGTGGCCAGGTAAATCTGTAATGACTAAGGGTATCTATCTAATTTATTTACTATTTGTAACTAACTGACTGCTCAATTTGTGAACCGAAATCGCTTCCTTTTTTTTTTTTTTTTTTTTTTTATGCATATTTAAATCTATATATATTGGAGATTGAAAAAGCACTTTTTCTTTCTAGAAAATATCTTCTGTATAGATTTTTATCATGAGAAACTAAGTTGCCAGAAAAACCAATTTCAGATATTATCACCAAAAAAAAAATCTTTTTTTTTTAATAAATTTCTGTTGAATTACAGTTAATTTCTATTTATTGCATAATATAAAAAAGTAAAATGTATAAAATTTAAGAAAATATAAAGCGCTGAGGGAAAAATACCTTATAAATGCAGTTTAATATGATTGAGTTCAAAACAGGGTTCAGGGCAAAGTCCAGCTTAACAGTTTTTGCACCATATTCAATAAATCTTATTAATAATCAATCTAATTAATAATTCAATAATTTAATTAAATCAATAATATAAACGCTGAGCAATTATTCAATAATTTAATCACTGAATGTTTTCTAGCAGCCATTTCTGTAAGAAAAAAGCGGCAAAAAGTGAAATTTGAGCGCTAATACCACGTGCCTTCAAATGTCGCAATTTAGTGGACAGCTAACGATATCTGTAGGCCAAAACATAATATAAACGCCTAATACTGTATATAATTTATTTCAATGATTAAATGGGGAAAAAACGGATTCCAATAAAGGAAGAAAAACATATGCCCGCGGAAATCGCGAGATAAGCAAGTTTTGCTACATTTGAGTTGCCCGTGGAAATCGCGGGATGATCAGCCAGAAGGTTAAAAGTTATCTAAAAGTAAAAAAGCAAAGTTAAAAGTAAAAAGTGAGTTATTGCCTTTCATTAATCCTTACCATGGTCTCGAGATGCAGCAAAGAAATATAAACATGTAAAACTTATTCCTTGCAGATAATGAGACTTAAAATAATACAAAATAGCGTATCACCTCTGGTGCTTTAGTAGTTTATTGGAATCTTAAAATATATTACCTGGGTTACTACCCCAGGAACTCTACATGAAGCTGTACAACCCCAGGAATTATACATGAAGCTACAGCACTAACTGCATCAGACAGAACATAACTAACTTTCTAAAATGGCCAGCCATGCCTACATTAGGTGTTCAGCTCTGTTCTAATTAACAGGTCTTTCTCTAGACAAGCAGCAGTGGTGGCAATAGCCAATCTTCTGTTAAGGAATTATGCTCATTATGATTTTACTTCTCATTTTAACCTATGCCATTAAAATGCTACTCTTCTTTCATATATGTCCAACTATTATAAGTAAAATATTTAATGTTACTTGATAAATTTTACCAAGTTTATTTTTTCTCAAATTTGTTTTATAATTATATTCATTCAATTATATTTAATAACAATGCATCTAACTTACAGATCCATTTTATTCTTAGGATGGTATTCCAAAATGAAGTTCAGGCATAGATAATATCTTTAATTTATTCAGTTCCCATTTGTTGATAGGACCTTAATTTTTTTTCATTAATGATCCTTAAAAGTACTTAATGTCCATGAGCAGAAATGTGTACGTACGTTTAACCATCATTCCACCGGTTTAAAAGTATAAATAACAGCCATTAAATTCCACTCCCCTCATAAAATTTCTTGTTTCTTTTAAAATGCTTCTTTTTATTATATGAATAGAACAATACCGGTGTGCCATAAAAATACCTTAACAGACATTTTATGACAAATCACAAAGTTGGCAGATGAATTTGCCATGCGGCCTGGATAATTGAGTACTCTACAGCAATAGTCTCAAATTGCATGTGTATCAAATGCACAATCTGAAAGCAGTAGACAAGCCAAAAAATTTTTAACCAAAAAAAGTTAACTAAATTTTACATATTAATATTTATCAAAACATAATAATGAGGCAAAGAAAAAATTCAAATGTATACTGATTTTTTTTGTCTGAAGTCTAAAGGTGGTATTTGAAGCAATTTGTGTTGGTTTTTCTTTATAATTCAAATGTATTGACTGCTAAATATTAAATCTTCAGACTGACATTTATTTCAGATAATTCTGATGTATTGAATTAACCACTAAATGATTTACTTAAACAAATTATAAAAATTTACCAAGTGGCACAAAATTTGAAAATAAATAATGACAACTTACTCTCTTTCACTTTTCAAATTTTTCTTCAATGCAAACAGAAAAATGCATGTATTTTATATAAATAGTTATAAACAAACTTCTTTATTCCACATTAAAGCTTTCAGCTGTAACACCTCATAGCATTTTGATTTTCCTAGAGTTTATAAACTTGGAGAAAAATTAGCAGAAACTGTCATGAATTGTATGCTCATCATCAGTCAGTTGGGCTCTTTTCTTATTTATTTTCAACTGTGGAAAAAACTGTTAACATAAAATGTACTTTCAAACAAATTGATTTTTTTTATTGCAAAAATTCATTGTACTAGTTTTTAAAACTCTTAATTATATAGGTCACAGGACATGACTGGCTAATGTTCTAAAAAAAATCTAATAATAAAATTGTTGTAGATACAGATTTTGATACATAAAAATATTAAAATAAGCATCATTCATATTTCATTGTTCCTCACATTTCATTGTTGTACTGTCTTGATTTGATAGAAGTGCAGAAAATTCTGTCTAATTTCCCATATACATTTTCTACATGTCTAATTTCCCATTACTGTAACACATAAAAATATGTCTTCATGTACATGTGCACTGCTGGAATCATAACTATTTTTGTAACCTTTTTTATTACAGAAGAATACTATATCTTTATTAGCAGTTGGAAACTTATCTAATGCCCTGTGATCCCATTTCATCAAAACAACCTATCATTTGTTGTAGAGCAGATGGAGTAAATGGGCATTGTCAATATTTCTTCAGGAGGTGAAGCAGTAGAGTGCAGAAACAGCAATGCATTTTTTCATGCTGTATTATTATCATTCAGTTTGCATTGAATTAAAAATGACAGGAAAACTCTTAAAGTGACCATCTTTTTAAATACTTTTATACCTAGCAAATTTTTTAGTTAACCATTTTTAAATTTCCTCTCCTGCCAGTACAATATTGTTACTATGTGAGAAACAATATACTTTTTTTTTACAGTTTTGCTGCATATGAGTTACTAAATGAAACTTGTAAGATCTTAAAGAGCAGAACTTATAACTTTTTGACTATTAATGATGTAGTTCATTCAACAGTTTCTTTTTGTCTATTAACAGCACACCATGCAAATTGACATAATTTACCATTTCCTTTAAATTTCAGTCACTTGAAATTCATTCACCCCCCCCCCAAGATTATTTTCAAAGAGTGGTACTAATTTTTTAGGTTAAAATTTAGAGCAGTGAAAAAGAAATTGCTCTTACTAACAATAAAAATTCATTAGGAATGAAGTCTATTTCTTGAATAACAAAATAGAATTTCAAATAAATAATGTAGCTTTAAAATGTATTTTATTACAATTGACATTTTTAATCTGTATCCATCCTTATTATGAAGAAAGAATTTATTACAGCAAAGAAAAAGAAATTTGGTAATGAAAACTGGATTCTTTTTAATGTGCTTGAAGTAACAGCAGACAAAAAAATTATTATATCTTGCAATATGTTGTTAGGGGGGGAACTTGTAATATTAATGCTTTAAGAATTGTTTTGCTTGTGTGAATACTTACTATAAGAAGTTATATGTAGCAGTTTTTTATTTGTTACGAAAAACAAATGAACTAGACATTTTATGCATATTTTTATTTCTACTTACTATAAGAAGTTATATGTAGCAGTTTTTTAATTATAAATTTGTTACAAAAACACAAATGAACTAGACATTTTATGCATATTTTTATTTCTGATTTCTGTATGTGTCTCTATGAAGAGAAAGGCATTACTGAAATAAAAAGACTGTGTAATAAAAAATTAAATTTCTGATTTTTAAAAGTATATAATTGCCCAAATACTTCTTTTTTGTAGATATTCTATTCCCTGTTGCCTAAATATAAAGCACAAGAATCTCTTACTTAGTAATGAGTTATATTAATCTTCTCAAGCTTTAAGAAGGCATGAACTTATTTCAAAAGATTTTGAAATCTTGAAATATATTCCAAAAGTTAAATCAAGGACTAGATGGCAAAAATTTAATAGATACAATTCAGATAGTTTGAAATGTGTGATTTATTTAATTTAATTTTTTGAGGGAAGGGGATGTTCTAAAGTATTGTTTTTTAAGAATTTAAAGTTTAATATATATATAATATTATTTTTATTGGCAAATATTGCAGATAGAACTATTATGGAAGCTGATGGTGATGGAGATCATATGATTTCATTTGAAGAGTTCTGTGCAAACATGGAAAGGACAGATGTGGAAGAGAAAATGAGCATTCGATTTCTCCATTGAAAATGTGATTGTTTAATAACAAAATATTTTTATACATACATACATATATATATATATATACATATATATCTTTAAACTATATATGGCCTGGTGTAAATCAGTATTCTTATCTTACATTCCTATGCATGTGTGATAAGAAAATATAAATTTTATATATGTAGATAAGTGTTCATCTTAGAAAAGCTTGTGTAAAGTAGCTGTAAGAAAAGAAAAGTTAATAATTATATAAATATGTACGAGTATATCTCTTGATACCTCGAATACCAGTTAGAATACTGTGCATATGCCTTGCCTGCAAATAATATATTGATAAAATATTTTTGTCTGCATAGATGCCAGTTTTATAAGCTTTCATTATTAAATAATTGTAATTTCAAATTGTATAAAAGTCATATTTTCAATAAATACATATATTTAATGTTAACAAATTGTAGTGAATTTCTGAATAATTTTTAGTTTAATAAAATATTTACTAACTGTTAAGTTTTATAAATTTTGCATTTTGAACTGTATAGTTTCAGTTTATATAATATACTTCATTCAAAATCAAATATGGCATAGTTGAATGTTGTGCTCTACCAAACACATCCATAATTTGTGACGAAAACATAGTCATAATGATAATTTCATAATAAAAGTAATGGAGAAGGAAATCTGTCTCTTAAGTTCCTCCTAATACCATTTGTTATATCAAACTCTATTCCATTCATCAAGAAGAGAGACAAGAAATAAACAAAAGACATGATGTATTCTCATCACGACGTTCTACTTTTCTTTTTTTCTAAAGTGGTGATTTTATTAAGGAAAGAAAAGTTAACTTTTGCGAAAATGAACCTGAAATGTGCATAAATGCCAAAAATTAATTGATCTAATCAGATGCTCAGAATTTGTAGCATTATTTATAGTAGCCATTTCTTTAAATGAAATGGCAGAATATCTAATTTAAAGTAGTAAGCCTCAATTATTTATAAATTCCAATATAATTTAAAATATTATACGTTTATATGATATAATTTAAAATGTTAGATGCTTTGAGATGATTTAGTTTAAAATATTAATATTTGTAAGATGGTAATTTAAGTTTTTTAAAAAATAATTTAAAATATTTTTAAAAAAGCTTAAATTTTAGGTAAAACGGATATCAAGCATTTGCTTAGTGTTTGTGCACAGGTATGACATTATTGATATTGCCATTCAAATACTTTTTGTTTTCTTTCAGTCTGTCTTCTCAGTGAATGGACTATACACACAACAATAGGTTAAATACAAAGAAATTTATTAAAAGAAAATACCTTCAGAACAGTATCTGTGATCTTATCTGTAAGGCCAATTTTTCTAGTAGAATAACTTAAAAGATGTTATTAACAAAACTAATTATTAATCAGTTAATAATAAAAAATTATAAATTCTTTTTTTTAAAACTGCTTAGTTAATTCTGTTCAAATAAAAGAATTTTTAATCTTCAATCAAAAATCTTTAAACTGTATTTTAAAATTTAATCCCATCCCTTCCAGTGAATTTTATCTAAAGCAATCACATATTCCAGATGAATAGGGATTTCTGTGGAGATGTCATTTCAGAGAAGTGATTTTCAGTACTGATGTTTGTTTATGTGACCAAAATGTGGTCACTATCAGAGGTTCACTGTATTTAAATATGTATATGCTGATGGACAAAATTAAAAGATGGAAAACATTTTCCCACATTTCTCTTAAAATACCACACAAAACTTGGTCATTTGGTTGCTATAAATGTCACTGTGGCGCTGGTATTACTAAGATGGGTTTACATATTCCTGTGGGCGTCACTATGCCAGGAGGAATATAAAAGTCCACGTCCAGCTGCTCAATTCATTCCGATCTGCAATACAGAAGTGATTTTTATCGTCTTTCTTGAATAATCTTGTATTTTCTGTTGTTTTCTAAATGAAATGAGTATACATCATTGCTTAGACAAAGGTATGTGATGGAGAATCATAGGTAGGCTAATGCAGAGCAGTCCCAAGTCCAGGTTGCAAGAGAACTGGATGTAACACCAAGTTTCATGTTTAATTGGTGGAATCGAGTGAGACGGTGGCCAGAAAACCAGGACAATTTTGCCTGACAACCACAATGACCAATGATGACCGGTATTTGGTATTTTCACCCAAGCAACCTATGACCTCTACAGCCACACAACTGTCTCGTGACCTTGCTACTGCCACAGGAACATCAGTTTGGAAAAAGACAGTTACCCAAAGGCTCCATGAGACATAACTGTATGCCAGAAAGCTCACTATTTGCATCCCATGCCCTCTCTCCCACAAAAGAGAGCATTTACAACAGTGCATACAACACTGAACACATCTTCAATCCGCTATCTTCACGGATGAGTCCAGATTCGGTCTACAACCCGATTTTCAGCCATTAGTGTTATGGGGGGAACCTAGGACCCATACCGTCCCACCGACATCATGGAAAGGGATCTATATTGTGGTGGAGGAGGGATGATCTGGGTAGGGATCATGCAAGATGCCCGCACACCACTCCATGCGTTTGACATTGGTTCCGTGAATGCCCAGAGGTTCAGACAGAAGATCCTAGAGTCCTATGTGTGATTTTTCACAGCTGCTGTTGGCCCTGAGTTCACTTTTATGGATTACGATACGTGACCACATAGGGCCCACTTGGTTGATGACTATCTGGAAAGCGAGGATATTCACCAAATGAATTGGCAACCAAATCTCCTGACCTTAATCCTACTGAACATGCTTGGGATGCTCTTGCTACTGCAATACCCTAACCTATATCCAGAACTGTGGATATGGGTTAGCATAGTTATTTACTACTACAGGAGTTAAAAACTGCTCTAGGGAGGAGTGGATGCAACTTCCATAGGCATTCCTGAACTCTCTTGTTAACAGCATGACTACTCGTTGTACATGCTGTCTGTCTGTAAGAGGCGACCACACCATACTAGCCACATTTTCACTGCCATCTTTTAACCTCAAGTTTGGATTCTTGGCCATAACTCGTGCTAGTAAATTTCATTTTCATTATTGTTATGCACATTTTATTGTCATACAATATATACTATAACCATACCTAATTTCATTTATTTCTGTCCAGTATTTCTCAAGATATTCCTGCCTTTGGACAATGTTGCCATGACTCCTGAATGGAATACTTTTATATGTTCTCTAAATATCACTAGTTTGGTGAACTTCGTTTTTGGCAGAATAATGGGATGTTTTTCGTCATCTATTAATTCTGCTTGTTCTAAACGACCTCTGACACGCAAAACATCGCTACTGTCCAGATATGGTGCTAAACTGTAAAGCTTCGAATCTAGTGTTATTAGATTATAATAACTTGTTAGTTATTGAATATTAATCTAGTGTTATTAGATTATAATAACTCTAGTTATTGAATATCCGAAAAATAATTCTCTCTCTGGACTTGTTTTATCCAGTACTCCTCAGCTTCTTGGATCTCCAATACAGTAAGAGGACCTTCTTCACAGGTACGTTTTCTTAGCTTGGCGACAAACCGCTTTACCCAAGCTGTAACTCTCAACAATTTTTCCAGACTGCTGAATTTGATAATGTTTAATGCAGTTTCTCCTTCTGGAACCGTCACCTGAACATAAGTGCTTAAATGTTCCAAATTTTGAGTATCAGTTTCTACTTTAAACTTCTGTTCAGGCCATTGATCTTCAGAATCTTTCAACCATGATGGACCATGCAACCAGTTATTATCTTTCACCAATGTATTTGCTGTTTTACCACGTTTATCTGCTGGGTTTTCCGACCCTAGATAATATTTCCACTTATCAGGCGAAGTACAGTCTTGTATTTCTGCAACTCTATTCGACACGAACTGCTTCCACTCACACGCTAACCCCTTTACCTACCACGAGCAAATTTCTGAATCCGTCCACAGAACTAACCTATTTACCAAATCCTGAAACATTTTCAATAAATATTTCCCTAACCTAGCAGCAACTACAGCCCCCATCAATTCCAACCTAGGGAGGGAAAACTTTTTTAACTGAGCTATCCTGATATGCTACCAAGAAACTTGATGTATATAATAACTTACTTAATATTCCTGGTAGCATCAGGCCAGAAGGCGAGTCATTTCATTTATCTGCATGCAATTTATCTTTGGAAATGAGTTTTGAAGAAACTATTGAGAGAAATAGAAAACTTAGAGGTAAAGTTCGTACAAGTGTAACAAAATTAATAAGGAAATTGGATGAGGAACTGCAAAGCGAGAATCCGAACTTAGAAGTGCTGCAGGAATCGCTTCAGTGTAATCGAGAGAGAAAAATCTTGTTAAAATATGATGAAGTGTTAATGCTCAAAGCACAGTTCAGGAATTAGAGGTAGAACATTGTTTAGAATACAGCGAATCCATCATTAGATGTAAATCGAAAGTCAATAGATATATTCAAAATGTGGGTAAAACCGGAACAACTTCACAAGTTTCGAAAATCAAAACTAATTATAATACTAAATTACCTCGCGCTACTTTAGAAACTTTCAGCGGCGATTTATGTAAATTTACTGAATTTTGGGCTCAGTATAAAGCTGCCATTCACGAAAACAGTATGCTTCAAGATGGTGAGTAAAGATCTTAAATAGTTAAATTTCTCAACACAAGACATTTGGGAAAAGTGTTCCATCCCTTGATTTTGTCCACCAGCATATATAGCAGTATAAAACAAGAAAATATTGCATCTGCAAAAAGAGGTGAAGGATACACATATAGAGCCAAGCCTCACGTGGTAGTTGAACCCGCATGTAGCTAACCAGATAATAGTCTATTCTTTTTTCATGATATTTATAGTATAGTGTCATTAAGTTATATCGATATAATAACGGAAAAGGAGGAAGAAAATTCCTCATAACAGTATGACAAAGGATTATTTTTGAATGTCAAAATTGCAATTTAGCGGCGCTGCATAGGCCTTTGGTGACTGAATCTGAAAATGAAATAAGTTACATGTGACAAATTTGAAGATCGAGTTTGTCAGTTTTGGCAACTAACTGTGGTAACAACTTTAGTAAGGAAGTACATTTTTAAGTTTTCAAACTCTTTACGCACATTTTCAAAAATCTGGACGTACTTTTCGATCCATCATATGAACAAACAAGTCCATGAGAAAGAAAACATTTGTTTCTAAGTAAAAGCAAATATCCCAATCATAGGAAGAAATGGCTGGCTGGGTTTTTGCATTTTGTCAGCAAGCTTTCATTAACTTTGAGCAGATTTGGATTGATACTAATATTTTATAACATTTCTGTAATAATATCGACAGCCTTCTTAGAATTCCAGTTTATTGTGATGCAGTGTGCCATATAAGTTGTTTTTCTCTTTATTGAGACTTTTTCCTGTGTTTAATAAATTGGCGACTTGATTATGTTGCTAATACGATACGCATAATTTATTTGAATGCGGCTAATGAACAAGTGCAGAAAACATCTAGAAATTTCCATTTAGAAATCATCTAAGGGGATCATTTCCATTTAGAAATCATCTAAAGGGACAAATATAGAAAAATATCACATTCCAATGGAAATGATGTTACGAAATGTACAGGTGCGGTAAGATGGCTTCCCCACAAAGCAGTTTGGGGGTTGCCATAAAATGCAAGGGAAGTCACGTTTGCC